CCACCTGTTCCTTCTCTCTAGAACAGTCCTTTCTGATCTGTGGTCTGTAAAAGCCTGACCTCAGGAGGAAGTTGAAGCTGCAGGAGCGGGGGCCAGTTTATGTGGGGGCAGGCGTTTCACCTCTGTGTCAGGCATAGCCTAGGGCTGCCTTAACCAGGGTCCTCAACCTTGAACTCCACAAGGGTTGGGAGTGGGCAAGGGGATCTCATAAGGTCAGGGGAGAATTTCGTGGAACTCAAAATCTAAATTCATGCACCGATTTTAGCCCTCTTTGCAAAGGTGGGTCTCAAGACACAAGGTTGGGGAAGGCTGCCCCCTAGAGCCATGATCAAAGAATTCTTCATGGGCAGACAGCCAGTTTTTCCTTTATTCATTGTACAAGAATTTATCGAGTTCCTACCTACGCATCTAGCATTAGACTAGGTACTGGGAATGCAGAAGAATCAAAACAGGAAATAGGGTAGCTAACCGTCACGGTTTTCCCTAGACTGAGGGGTTTCCTGGGATATAAGACTTTTAGTGGTAAACTTAGGACAGCTCTAGAAACAACCAAGAGAAGTTGGTCCCTAACAGATAAAGCCCCTGCCCTGATAGAGGTTATATTCCGATGGAGTATCAGGGGCATGGGCAGAAAGAAGAAACAAATACATAAGATAATATCACATAGTATAAGCACTGTGGGAAGTAAAACAGGTGAGGGATTGTAATTTAGATAAGGAGAACAGGATTGCCTCTCTGAGGAGGTAATGTTTAAGCTGAGATTAGAGTGATGAGGGATCAATCTTAAGAATACTCAGAGAAGAGCTTTCCAAGCACAAAGTACAAAGACTCCAAGGCAGGCACAAACTGGGCACATCTGAGAGACAGACAGAAGGCCAGTGTGCCAGAAGTGAAATGAGCAGGGCTGAGACTAGTTGGAGTTGGCGAGGCCTTGATTGGTTCACCCTAAGAGCTGTGGGAAGGTATTGGAGAGATTGAAGCAAAGGAGTACCATGTTCTGGTTGTTATTTTTAAAGATCATGGCAGCTGCTAGGTAGAGAATGGACTGGAGGGGAAAGAATGAGCAGAGGAAGATCAGTTAGGAGGCTGCTGCAAGGGGCAATGGAGGTGATGATGATGATTGGACTAGGATGGTAGCAGGGGAATGGAAAGAAAGAACAGGGCAGACCCAATTGTACTTGCTAATGAATTGGATGTAGAAGGTGAAGGAAAGGGAGGACTCAGTAATGACAGTTTGGGGCTGGATCCATAGTAAACAAGGACATGTGTGGGGACTAAGGAGCAGGGAGGAGGAAGCCCTGACAAGTCCAATGAATTCAACAACTGAAATATAGTTCAGTGGGGGTAACCCTGATGTAGCATTATGGGAGGAGATATATGTCTGGAATGTGCCTGCTTTGGGTGAGTAATGAAGAAATGTCTTTGGAGGCAAGGTCTCTGCAGATGGGGGTTAGGAGTCTGACTTGAGAGGGATTGATAGTTCAGACAGGTTAGTTATATAAGATATGTTTACATGACCTGAAATAGAACGAGGAATGGTGTATTAGGGCAATAAGTTTATCCGTAACAAACAACCCTGAAATCTCAGTGGCTTAGCACAACAAAAATGTATTTCTCACTCATGTTACAGTCCAATGAGGGTCTGGCGGGTGGTGGGAGTGGTTCTGCTCTATTCATTCATTCAAGGGTCCCAGGCTCTTTCCTCCATTTGATGCTTCTGTCTTCAACATGTGGCCTTTAAGATCATCAGAGAATGGGGAGAGGGAATAGAGGATGCACGAGATATTTTTATGGATCCAACCTGGAAATGACACATATTGCTTCTGCTTTGATTCTATTGCTCAGAACTTGATCCCATGGCACCATTTTAACTGCAAGGAAGCTTGAAAGTGTTCAGTGTTCAAATTTAGCAAGTCATGTGCCAGGAGAGCAGCTAGTGGTGAGTGTTAGCAGTCTCTGTTGCAGGCAGGGAGTGTGGCAGAAAGTGTGGCCGTCTGTCTCGAGGGGTAGGGTGGGTAATGGTGTCTGTCTTGGATTGAGATGGGAGTGAGCTTTCTAAAAGTACCTTGGAAAGGAAGTTGATATGGGAAGAAGTGTATGTATGGTGCACACCTGTGTGCTTTGTAGCTCCATAATCTTTTTATTCTTTCCCATTTTCATGGCCTTTCTCCAGGTAAGGCCTTAATGAATCCACATCTCACCACTGCAATAGCCTTGTGAATGCTTTCTCTTCTATAATTTTCTTTTTCATCACATATAAACTGGATATCACAGCCTAACTAATTTTCCCAAGACATGGCTTTTGTCATACTACTCTTGTTCAATAAAAACAATAGCAACAATTTCAACAACAGCAATAAAAAAATTCATTGAATTACTGTGTTGAGTGCTTTAACTGCAGAATCTCAATATACCGTAACCATTATAACAAGCCTGTGAGGTATCGTCATCATTCTCATTATATAGATGGAGCAACAGGGGTCCTGAGAGTTGCCTGTGCTAAGACAGTAGCCACTAGCCATGTTTGGTTATTTAAATTAAAATTCAAAACAATCAAAACTTCAGCTAGCCACATATCAAATACTCAATAGCTACATGGGACTAGTAGCTACCATTTTGGAGAGAGCAGATATAGAAAATTTTCTTCTTGGCAGAGGGTTCTGTTGAATTAGGGGAACCTGCCCAGGGTCACAGAGTAAATGGACACTCTGTCTTCATGTAAGCTTCTTCAACAGCTCCTTATTCCTTCCACAATTAAGAAAAAGTTTCAGCCTGCTCTTAACATTTTTGTACAACCTGGGCTCAAGCTACCGTTACATAATTATTTACATAATTATTTCCTCATTAGTTTCTTGCACAAGCTCATGCTCCAGCATAACAAGCTCCCTATTCTCCAATATTCCTAATATGTCCACTCATAATATTTTTGCTCTTCTTTCTGTCTTCCCAGCTAATTAATTTTTATCTGACCTTTGTGTCCTCGGCCTGAACAACCTTTCAGACTCCCCTCATTTTCTCTTGCCATGGCAGCAGTTATGCTGTGCTAATCATACTCGTGGACATTTATGTGCCAGGCACTCTTCTAAGCACTGAGTGCTCATCACAACACTTGAAGTAGATATCACTGCTGCCCCCACTTTACAGGTGGGGTAACTAAAGCACAGGGAGGTAAGGGACTTGTCCCAGTGATTTCTCTGCTTTCTAGTCTTTTCATAGGCACTTCACCCTCATACTATTACCCTGGCCACATTTCTAGAACATAGAACGGTTACTTCCTTCCCTTCCTGGGTTCCACAGGGAGGGAGGGGGACAAATTTCTTAGCAGAGCACACAAGGTCCTTTATATTCAGAACGTGTCTAAACTCAAAACCCACCACTACACCCACAGACTACAAACTACTTATAGTTTCCCGACCTTCCATGTTATTTCTTCTCTCTGGGTTATACACATGCTCTTCCCGCTGCCTGGAGTGTTATTCCAGCCAGCCAGCTCTGAAGCCATTTATGGCAGTATGCTCTGGACCATGGGGCTCACTCCCTCCTCTGAACATACAGCTCTAACTCTCTCCATCAGCAGCTCCAAGAACAGGGCTGGGTGCTGAGCTCAACACATTAAAATCACTTCTCATTAAAAAATATACTCCCAAGATTCAAGGAGTGGATTCTGGGGTCTTTTTCGGTAGGGTAGACCGAATAATGGCTCCCCCAAGATACCCATGTCCTAATTTCCCAGAACTTGTGAATATGTTACTTTACACATCAAAAGAGATTTTGCTGATGTGATTAAGGATCTTGAGATGGGGAAATTATTTTGGATTATCCAGGTTCTTAATGGCCAGGATCTTTATAAGGGAAAAGAGGGAGGCAGCAGAGTCAACAAGAAAGGAGATGTGACAACAGAAGCAGATGTCAGAGTAATGTGATTGTTAGCTTTGCAGATGAAGGAAGAAGGCCCTGAGTCAAGGAATGTGAGTGGCTCTAGAAGCTGGAAAAGGCAAGGAAACGAATTTTCCCCTTGAGCCCCCAGAAGGAGAGCAGACCTGCCATCCCTTTCATTCCAGCCCAGCAAGACCCATTTTTGGACTCCTAACCTGCAGAACTGTAAGATCATAAATGTGTGTGGTTTTAAGCCATTCAATTCATGGTAATTTGTTATAGCGGCCAAAGGAAATGAATACAAGGGATGCTGGCAGCTTATTCTGTACAGGTATGTAATGGGGCTTCCCCAACTAGATTTGAAGTGTTTGAGGGCTCCGTTTTCCCTCCCAGCTCTCAGGAGGAAGCTGGGTCTACAGTGGGGAGCTTAATGCACTCCTGCTATAGATTCCAGTCTCTCTAGAATTGTCTGATTCTGAGGAGGAAGGTGATGTTTGGTAGGGATTTGGGGGTGTGGGGATGAGGGTTGTGGAGATGAAAGGATATGGGTGGTGTCAGTGAGGGTCAGAGGTTTGAGGTTAGAAAGTGATGGTGGCAGTTCTCAAACGTCACTGTGAAGCATCTTCTGAGATACATAAAAAGAAAGTTTTGGGAGGGAAACTGGCTGTTAGGGGTATGGTGGAAGGAATCATATTCACTGTGTACTTTTATATTTCTTAATTTTTATATTTTAATTTTAACGAGAAATTTAAATTTTAAATTTTAAACGAGAATGCGCTTCCTATGCAGAAATTAAATTTTAAAAGCTGTCGCCGCAGCTGGCTTGTATAAACGTGAATTGCCGAGCCCCGCCAAGGCCCAAATATCCTGATACGGTAGGTCTGAGGATGAACCCGGGACCTGCCTTCATAACAAATATTTCCCTGCGGGTCAGAAGGCTCAAGGACCTCACTGTGCCCAGCTCTGGACGCGCGGTCTGCGGCTCCGGGAGCGGGCGGCCTCCGGCCGGGGAGGGCGCTGTGCCGGCTGTGCTGGGGGCGTGTCGGGGGAGCGCAGGGCTCCGGGAGCGGGCGGCCTCCGGCCGGGGAGGGCGCTGTGTGGCCTGTGCTGGGGGCGGGCCGGGGCGGAGCGCAGGGCGGCCGGCGGCTCCCGGCTTCGGCTCCAGCTCCGGCTCTGGGCCCTGCACCTGTGACACTCGGTGGCGCTTGCCCTCCCACCCGGCGCCCGCAGCCCATGGCTCCATCTCGCCTGCAGCTCGGCCTCCGCGCCGCCTACTCCGGCCTCAGTTCAGTGGCTGGCTTCTCCATCTTCCTCGTCTGGACGGTGGTCTACAGCCAGCCTGGGACAGCGGCTATGGGGGGACTCGCAGGTACCCCGGGGCGTGGAGGGGCGCTGGGGCCCGGCTTCGGGCGTGAGCGGGGAGGCGCTGTCAGTTGCTCCGGAGGCTCCTTGCGGGCGGCCTTTCCCCAGGGAGTGGGTGGGGTGTTTATCCAAAAACACCCGTGGCAGCGCAGGCCCCGTGCGGCCCAGGCATTATCTGGGTGCCACCGGGACCCGATACCCGCCGAGCCCAGGCGCGACCCCTGCTGCCCAAGTGTGCCGCGCGGCCGCCGCTGAGCCGGTTAGCTGGAGGCCCCTTCGCCCGGCTGCCGGGTGACAGCGTCCTGCCTGCGCGCCTGCTTCACTCGCCACCTTCACACGGCTGTCACAAGTCTAGGCGTGAAGACTCCCAAACACACACAACCTGCTTTTGGGGATGGGTGAGGGCAGAGAAAGGGTAAGTGGAAAGGACGCCTGGGGTTCCTAGGGAAGCCCACCTGCCTCCTTCCAGTGTGGACCCCACCCCAGCAGAGTCCTCTGCGGAGATCTGGAAGACCGTGCTGGGGATCAGATAGAAACTGAATATTTTCTTTCAGGCACGTTGATGCCTCTTTGCCACCCTTGTTCTATGGCTCCTCCACCAAGGTCTGCTAAACCCTGCTGGTCGCGCTTTCTGTGCCTGGAGGAGGGAAGGGGGAAGCACGTATTAGAGTCAGAACGTCAGTGCACCGGTGGGGGCCCTGTGCTCACCGGTGCTCGGCTCACAGTGCACCATTCGGACATGCCATTAACCTCTCTGTGTTGTAGAATTGGTGTGAAGATGAAACATATTATTTCTACTTGCTTTTAAAAAAATGCTTTCTATGTGCCAGGCACTGTGTTATATGCAATCTCATTGAATCCTCACATTAGTCTTGTGAAGTAGGCATTATTATTGTGCCCATGTTACAGATAAGGCTTAAACTGAGGCTTGGAGTAAATAAATAGCTGGCCCCAGGTTACACAGCTACATGAAATAATATGTGTGGAAAAAGAACTTTTGGGGAAAAAACATGTAAAGATAATGCTTTTACATATGATGATCTTATTCCATTACTAAAATCCTCTGCCCAAAGAGCCCTAAATGGACTAATGAAAAAAACTAGAGTTACTTATTGCTCTGTGAGCTTACCGAGTGCCATCCCTGGGTAGAGAAGGAATGAGAGGTGGGGATTCTGCCTTATAAGAGGGGCGTACATAGCCACAGTCTAAGCAATGCAAAGCGGAATGCTGGGGATCACCAAAGAAGGGCGGTGGGCGCACTGGCTGAGCTGCTCTCATGCCTGCCTGCCTGCCTGCCCCACCACCTGTGGGTTCCTGTCTTCCCTGAGGGCAGCCAGGTCATTTCTGCACAGTTATCTACAGTCCTCTGGCTCCTTCTTCCCTACTCCCCCACCATCTATCCTGTTTCTCCTGGTTCTCTCCTTACAGTTTTTTCTTGTTTCTTGTCAGCGCTGCTGCTTTCCACTCAGGAAGGTGTTATCTTCAGGTCAGGCCCTGTGGTTGTGCTGATAAGACCTTAGTTGAGGGGCTGGTTGGGGGTGAGGAGGAGGGAGGGCCATCCCTGGGATCAGAGCTGAGTGTGTTAGAGCCTGGCCTGGCGGAGTGAGCCCTAGCTAGCTGTGGGAACTTGGGCCCATCAATGCCTCCTGGGCCCGAGTTTCATCATCTATGAGGAGTGGGAGGAGATGCCCCCTTCAGGTCTGAAATGTTGCAATTTTGTGTCTTTTCTTGTTTCTCACAGCTGCTTGTTGGAAGGCCAGGAATAGGCTTATGCTCCAGGGACTCCTAGGGTTTCCCTCTGACCCAAACTCTGCCCTCTCTCCCTCCCCACAGGCTTCCCTCTGAGGCAGGCCAGCTGTGGAGCTGTCTGCAGGGAGAGGCACTAGGGCAGCGACCAGCTGGAGCAGGAGTCCTGGTGCCTCCCTGACAGTCTGGCCTTTGACAACCAGGAGGTGGCCATGGAAGAGCCAAAGCTGCCTGGTGGTCGTAGTGGTCTGGTGGCTTGGTGGTGTGGCACAGCGGAGGGCTTGCCAGGCTAGGGCCATGCACGTGCTCTCTCCACCCTGAATGGGTTCTGAGAGAGTCTGTAGTCAGTCAGCCTTCTTCCTCTTTTGGGGTCGAAGCATCAGCGGATTTACTGACTTGTGAGCACCCCACTTCTGACTTTGCATTTTCCAGCTCAGAAACTGCCGAGTCACCAGAGGGCAGCCCCAGTGTGCTTCCCCTGTGTACCAGGCAGGGACCCATGGCTGTGCTGGTTTCTGGGGCAGCATCAGCCGAGAGCCCCTGGGTCCAATGTGAAGATCGTTCATGGGTGGAGACCCATACTCTCCCATCCTGATGGTGTCTGGGAAGAAGAGGCTTGAAGGAAAGACAATTGCAGAAGAAATAGTTTCGCTCTGGGAACCCTGGGGAAACACATAAACTTTTGCTTTATGTCTAACAGACAAGGAAAAAGAGAAAGCATAGAAAAACTGCCCTAGGAGTCTAAACAGCTCTGCTCTTCTAAACAGCAGGAGCTGTGAGCCAGAGGAGCACTAGGCTCTGGGCCTTGCTTTTCCCCAGGGCAGGTGTACAAGAACATAGCAGGATCCAGGCCCAGGGTCCCACTTATTTACATTTCCCTCTTGGCTCCCTTGGGCTCCTCTCGTCACCTCACTTCCAACCCAGCCACTGGGAATACTTGCGTGACCAATTTTGTGCCTTCCTTGCCCTTGATCTGTCAGCTCTGAGCCCCAAGTGGAACAGGGGTCCTGCTCCTTGAAGCAGGTGGGATAGAGTGAGGAGCGAGGTCTGGCGTGGACATGCAGCCAAGTGAGCCTGGGGACCTGTTCATTCTATCTTGAATTGTGCAGATCAGGTTTCCTAGAGCCCAGAGGGAAGGGAGCAGGGGCTGAGGGACAATTGCCTCCTGCCTGCGGTGTGGGAAGGGACCGGTGGGGGTTCCTGCTCCTTCACTGACCACCTTGGATGGAGTTGGTGAGGGAGGTCCCTCTTCCACGGAAAGTAGTGGGAGCCAGGGTGAGTGAGAATGGGCCTGCTTCCAGACTTGACTTGTGTTTATCTGGAGGTGAGACCTGTGTGCAGGGGAAGTGAGAGGGGAAGGTTGTGCCTACCCATTAACGAAGAACTAAGACCTGGAACACCCAAATGGCCATCTTTCTTTTCCTCCTGCTCAGCCCTTTTTGGTATATGGGTGTATGTGGGGATGGGTGTTTTGTGGTCACCACTGGAATATGGCCAGTGGACTAAGAGATGGTGTTTCCTTAGGCCCCCATTTCAGCATTTTTCTAACCTAGAAATTGCTGAGTCACAGAGGAATTGCTTGACCTCCTTATTTTTCTCTTGAGCTGACTTCCAGAATCTTTGAGTGGTACGGGATCTTAGAGCTCATCTCCTCTAGCCCCTTCATGGCATAGTGAGAAGATAGAGAGCAAGTAGGACTGTTCCAGACAGGTGCCCATCTGACTCTTCCTTGAATATGCTCAGTGACAATAAACTCCCTTCCTAGGGCCCGTTAAGAAACCAAACAGCTGCCCCAAATGAACACTTAGGAGGCATGTGAGACGACTGGGAAAGACTCTGGGAAGGGTGGCTGGCACACAATTTAAATCACATAAGATATAAGCTAAAGCTGTGGGATTGCTATTCTGTCCACCTCTGGCCTGCTTCCACTTCCTGCCTGTGCCAGCACTGAGAAATGCTTGTCCTGGCTGATCTCGAAACCAAACAGCTGCCCCAAATGAACACTTAGGAGGCATGTGAGACGACTGGGAAAGACTCTGGGAAGGGTGGCTGGCACACAATTTAAATCACATAAGATATAAGCTAAAGCTGTGGGATTGCTATTCTGTCCACCTCTGGCCTGCTTCCACTTCCTGCCTGTGCCAGCACTGAGAAATGCTTGTCCTGGCTCACCCTGATCTCAGGGGTAGAGGGACCCACTTTACAGGCCCCAAACCCTGAGGGAGGTTGGGAGTTGGCAGGGCCAGAGCTGGGAGAATGGGGGTGAAACAGTGGGAGGGGAAGCTGCAGGGATTGGCAGGGCTGTGTCCTCACTAGGGTGGAACACTGGAGTCGCCAAGTTTCCAGGCTGGCAGGACCTTTGGGTTCACCCATTTTTAGATGTAAAACACCAAGGCTCTGAGAGATCACAGGTGGCACAGCAGTGCCAGGCCTCAGGCTTCTTGGCTTGCAGTCTCATAGTTTCTGTCCCTTGCCAGGCTGCCTGAATTGTGACAGCTTGTGAGCTGGTAACCAGAGCATAGCTCAGTGATGACGCCTCCCTCTGCCTTCTGTTTTTCTTAACTTTAAAAAAAAAAAAAAAATGAAATATTTCCAGCATATGAAAAAAGATGATTTAACAAACTCCTTACATTTACCACCCAGCCCAAGAAATAAAATATCATAGATTCAGTCAAAGTGCTCTCCCACCCCCACTTCCTTATCAACTTCCCTTTCTTTTCTTTCTTGCCACAGATAACCACTTTCCCCAAACAGATGCCCATCCTTCCTGTGCATGTGTGCACAGGTCTCTAGACTCCCAGGATCCCCAGCCTGTGTAGCCTACACCTGCCAGGTCTGCAGCTGTCTCTGCCTCTTTCTTCATTCCTCCCTTGCGGGGGACCCTGCCGCCCTGCTCCGGACACTTGCCAATGAGATCAATATTTGTTCCACTCTTTGGGCTGCGAGGCAGGCACGGCCTGGCACAGAGGAAACTCATTGTACTGGCTGAGTGGCAGCTGGCATTGTAGGGGAAGTGCCCAGACAGGCCCAGTGGGCGGGCTCAGGAAAGGCTGCAGATTGGAGGGAGTGACATGGACTCTGGCCATGAACAAGAAAGTCTTGAAACTTTAAGGTTGTGGCCCCTGCAGGCCAGGTGGAGGAGGAGCAACAGGGTGGAAGGCCGGCTTTTCACATCTGTGGCCCTCAGGGTAGGTAGTGGGAAGTCCTTGGAAAGCAGGCTGGACTGCAGCAGTCCTCAAACTTTTTGATTTCGGGACCCTTTTACATTCTTGAAAAGTTGTGAAACCCCAAGGAAATTTATGTGGGTTATATCTGTCGATATGTACCGTATTAGAAATTAACACTGAGAATGTTTTAAAGTAAAATTAAAAATAACATTGAGTCTATGGCCACCCTGAACGTGCCCAATCCTGTCTGATCTCAGAAGCTAAGCAGGGTTGGGCCTGGTTAGTACTTGGATGGGAGACCGCCTAGGAAGACCAGGTGCTGTAGGCATTAAAAAAATAAATAAATAAATAACATTGAGTTAAGTAACAATTTTGTGTGTAAGAAATAGTCATGTTTTCCAAAATTTAAAAAAAAAAAAAAATTAGGGAGAAGAATGGTGTGGTTTTAAATTTTGCCAATCTCTTTGAATCTGTGACTTAACAGAAGGCAGCTAGATTCCCTTATCTGCTTTTGCATTCAGTTCCTCGAGATAGCATAGGCCTTGCAACCTCCAGAAAACGCCACTCTACAGTCATGAGGAAATGAGAATGAAAAGGCCAACATTATCTTAGTATTATTATGCAACTATGTCTGGCCAGTCGAACCTAAAAGGCCCTGGGAGTTGCCAGGGTCACTGGCTAAAGGCAGGGTGAGGAGGAGAGGGGAACCGCAGCGTCTGTCCGGCTGACCCAGTCTGTCTTGCAGGTGTGCTGGCGCTGTGGGTCCTGGTGACACACGTGATGTACATGCAGGATTACTGGAGGACCTGGCTAAAGGGGTTGCGTGGCTTCTTCTTCGTGGGTGTCTTCTTTTCAACTGTCTCCATCGCCACCTTCTGCACCTTCCTCGTGCTGGCCATCACCAGACACCAGAGTGAGGGCTGGTGTGGGAGGAGAGGGCGTGGGAGGGCCAGTGGGGGGCTCAGGAGTAGACCTGGGATCCTGGTCCTGGTTCCACAGCTTACATCCAAGGGACTGGGCAGATCACTTAAACTCTTATACCTGGGGTTTCTCACTGTTAAAGTAGGGAGAATAAGAGTACCCACTCCTGGGGTTGGAAGGGTTCAATGAGCGCGTGGGAAGGAAGTGTTGAGCACAGTGCACGCTGCTGGTCAGCACCCAGGAGGGTTAGTTAATTGTAGTACCATGTAGTGAGATCAGAGTGCCCTCTGGTGGCTGCAACCAGCAAGGAGCCAAAGGCTCTTGTCCCTGCCCCTAGGAGGTATGATGTTAAAGCTGGTTGGAAGTGGCCTAGGATCAAAATCACAAAAACAGAGTAGATGATACAGACCTATGATTGGCCAGCCCTGACCTTCCTTCATCCCCACTGCCTCCTCCCTGCAGACCCTGACTATCACACTTAATCTCTCTGTAGGATTAGTTCAGCCACTGTTGGAGGTGGTGGGGAGGGGTGGCCAATGGGCTTGTGGCACAGTGGCTGTGGTAGAGGGCAAAGCCCTCTTGAGTCACTGTTGGGCTCCTCTCCCCTGCAGGCCTCACAGACCCCAACAGCTACTACCTGTCCTGCGTCTGGAGCTTCATTGCCTTCAAGTGGGCCTTCCTGCTCAGCCTCTACGCTCACCGCTACCGGGCTGACTTTGCTGACCTCAGCATCCTCAGCGATTTCTGACCCAGGGGTTGAAGTCTCTGTACCCTGGGGTCCTCAGGACCTGGACTCAGTCTCTTGAGACATCTGGTGGGCCTGCACCACATCCTAGGGACCCCAGAACTATGGCAGAAAATACACAGCAGAAGGACCTTAGTCTCCGGGAAAGCTGACCCATTCCCTCTGGAGAGACCTGGATGCGGTGGGAAGGGGTCCTGCCATGTCGCTCCTCAACAACCTGGCTGGAGGGCAGCTTTTCAAATGGATCTATTTCCTTAGCACTCAGTGAGGAATCTTTGTAAGCAGGGCCAGACAGCAGGTGGTTTGGTCCATTGTCCCAAGGACTCTCCCTCAGGCCGGGGTGGGAACCTGGAGAGGTCGGGTCAAGTAAGGGGTCTCTGGTAGAAACCTCTCAACTCCTAACTCTGGCACCCCATCCTGTTGTTCCCCTAAGGGGAGTGGGGACTTGAGTGGAGAGTTTGGTGTCCCTGTTCTACCCAGAGCTGGTCTCCCATGAGTGTGCCAGAGCCGGTCATCTTCCCGCCTGAAATGGTCCCTCTTACATGTACCATACTCCCCAGAGCAGGACTCTCCAAACCAGGCCATGCTAAGGGTCATGAGGAAGGTGCTCTTGTCTCCTGAAGGGCTTCGGGGGCGGGGGCAGCATGGAAGGGCCCCACACCTGTGCCCACACACCCCCAGTTCTGCATTTCCACTCTACTCACACCTACCCATCACACCCAGATCACCCAGACAACCCTCACCATGATACCCCCACTTCTGCCCCTTATCACTACCCTTCATCTAGAGCTTATATCTTTTAAAATTTCCCTTCTGAAGGATAAAATCTGCTCTCTGCCCATACACTGGCCCAAGGGCTCGCCTGACTCTGAAGGGGCTACTGGTACATGTATCTTTTTATGTTAGGTTGCCATTTTGCATGGTCTACCCCTTTCCCACCTGTGTCCAGCCTCTCATCTCTTTGCCTTATCTGTGTCACTGTCACTTTAGCAGAAATACAGCGGCCATTTTATCAGACTGCCTCTGGTTGTTTCTTGCGGGGTGACTGGGAGCAGTGAGCCGGAAGGCTGGTAGTGCTGGGTTCTCTGTTGTCTCATTAAACCATTTCCTCAGCTCACATTGTGCCCTAGTGGGCAGGGGAGGTCATTGTCCCCTTGGCATGGGGGGAACCCACTGCTTAGCTTTCCTCCTCTGGCTCTCAGCACACTTCTGGCCAGGGTGAGGATACCCATGGGCACAGTCTAATCAGCTGCCTCTATGGGATTTAGTATGCATCACCTAAGAGGCCAGGACGGATGAGAAGAGGACAAACCTGCTTCCCTTCTCCCATACTGTGAGGGATTGGGGCCGTCTGAGGTA